CTCCCTCATCCTCTCTCTCTCTCTCTCTTTCACGAAGCTCTTCACTAATTCTCTCTCTCTGATCTCTGATCACATTGGCCCTTTTCTTTATTTGGTTTCTTCTTCTTCTTTTTTCTCGTCTGGGACAAACTGGTGTCTCTCTTTTCCAAACAAATAATAGTTTATTTGACAGATGGCCGACTAGTTATTTTGCTAATTCAAGGTGTTAGTTGTGTATGTAGTAGTGAAATCTGAGGTGGAAAAAGTGCGATTCTAAATTTTTTATATTGAAAAAAAAAATTCGGGCAAGTTAGGGCACGAACATAAAGGGGAGCCCGAAATCTCGGCCGAACCTATTTCGACCAAAAAAATCGGCCAGTCAAATCAAGGTCCATACGGGCTTTCAAGCATTTTTGCTCACCCTACAAAATAAGTGTCATGCTAGATAAAGTGCTACATAGGGGGAACCACCTCTTGAACCTTATAAGGGCCAAATGCTACATGGTGGGAATTACCTCTTGATTCTTGAACCCGTGGGGGCCATAAATGTATTGAATATATTTGAACTTTATTAGAATGATCCCTCAAATTTTAGTTTTGAAGACGATCTACACACAACTACCAAATGATAACTCTAGTGAAGTCAAAATTAATAACAATTAAATATCTATGGGTGAAATAATTATATTTGGCGTAACAAAGTAAAAACCATTTGAATAGCTTCAACGATTGTCAAACAAACTTCAAGACAGTTTGCAAAAATGCTTAAGGAAGACTTCTATGTAATTTAGAGAAGAAATGATGGTGGAATAGGGGAATAAGTTATCCTATAATTGATCTTGCCCCATTGATCTTTTTATCCTTTTTGACAAACTTCATGCTGATGCTGATTCCGCACTTATTTAATGACATGACGAGTGTCACATAGCGAGCCATTTCATTTCGTAAGAAATTCTAGTAAAATCTCCGTACGTGTAGCGTTATTTATATTTCAACGTCTTGCCTGATTTCACTCCCATTACAAAATAATGAAAGAGAAACTCAGATACGAAGGCTGTTTTATAAATTTGACATAAAAAGTGATGTGGCATATTGTTATAAGTTATTGAATGTGCTTATTGTCCACTTATAATCTGCCACGTGGTTCAATACACTAATATTAATTATATAACATAGTACTCTCCAACAGGAGGAGAGAGAAAGAGAGATCAAGGTAACAACGAAGAAGAAAGGGAGGGGGATACCAAATGAATAAGATGGGTCCATATGAAGGACAAATTGGTGCCTCATATTCAACGAAGTCCATTACGTGAGGATTGGGAAGTCAACGGAGACGAAGACCCAACGTTCCATCGAATGCGCCGTGTAAGCAGACGACGATAACCCAACCAAAAAGAAGAAAAAAAGAAGAGACAAGTCCTTCAATACCCCGTCAACTACGGGAGCATCCACAAGTCCATGGAATTTGCAGGCTCGATAGAGGCCGAAATAGAGGTCCAGGCCGGTTCAGGATGCGCCCGAATTTTATCTCCATAAAAAAAAAGATCAATTATTAGATTTTTCACCTCAAATATCACTTTTTTTTACGTGTTTATTTTTTAACTTATTTATGACTTTACCAAAGTACTTTGAGTATCGATAAGGGGGAACTCGAAATCTTGGCCTGTGCCTATACGGACTTGAAAATTACGGCCATTTGATCTGGGTCAATCCAGTCTTTTTTGCTCTCCCCTAAAACTAAGTGTCACATGAGACGAATTTTTATATCGCGGGAGCCACTTCTTGATCCTTATAAGAGCAAAAGGCTAAATAGTGGGAGCCACCTTTCGAACCGATGGGAGCCACCTCTTCAAGTGCGACCACCCAGGTATATAAGTGGGATTGGCTATGTGGTTTGCATCATCGAATATCATCTAGTATGAAGCTAAACTTTGTCATTTATATGCAGCAAGTTGATGCGTCTGGTACGAGGAAATTGAAGAATAAAGGGGTATGGAGAGTTAGTACACGAATTTAGGGAAGAATCAGCAGTTCTAGCTTGATTCAAGCTCGTTTTCATGGATAATTGCTTTTTAAGTGCTTTTTAAGTACTCATGCTTTGATATAGGTCCAACACATTCATAGAAACAACATAAGTGCCAACATTCTCGAGATCTTAAGTGATGAAGTTTATATGTTAACATGGATAAAAATAGCATGTAAAAATACCAATATATGCAGATAAAACATTTACATTCGGGTATGCATATGCAAAGTGTGGATATTGTAACCTGTTACAAAAGAAATCAAAACTTCTAGTGTAAAGAGAATAATTTTCTCTTAGAAATAGGAAGTAAATATTTGGAATTTACTTATACCTCGGCCAGCAACATCAGTCAAATAATCACAATTGGCCTGTTTGTGGATGAACGTGGCTCACCGGTGACTAGAGCTAGGTCGTAATGTCTCAACTTTGGCCCTAAATAAAATAGAAATTAAGAAAATAAATTTATCAAGATTTTTTTATCTACATATACCGACAAAAAAAGAAGCGATCTTATCAATTATTTTCCATTAAACAATTTTATTGAAATAGATTGAATATAATGTTAACATACAAAGGACGAAGTCAATGATTATTGCTTTTTTAACATGCATGCACAGTTCTACTGATGAATGTTAGAATCAAGAGTTGCTAATGAAATGAATAAAAAAATTATTGTTTCAAGCTTTTTAACGGATTGAACGAGCTCGGACTTGAGCTCTTTTGTCTTATTCCCCAAATGAAAGATCAGACTTATTGCGCTGTTATCATAAAAAAAAAAAGTCAGTGTAATTAATTTTTTAATATGAGGAATCGTCCTTGTCTCTCTTGTAGAAAGTGAAAACAACATATCGGTTGTTTCATAATCTAAATGTTTCATAATCTAAATGCAAATCATAGTACACTATTTAATTTAGGTGAATCCAAAGCTCTTGCCTCACAGAATGGGGCATTATTTTGACATTATAGTTCATCATTCGACATACAACTTATTATTGTAAATGCATAAGGCTTCTGGCCTACATAGTTCCCAGGAGGATCGTAGTTACAAGTGACCAAAGCACCGCCCGTCGCACATTGGATCTTTGCGCATCCGAGCCTAACCGAGTTGCCCCACACCACCTGAGTGTAATGCCCACAGACCTTTCCCGGTGCGCATGAGTTGGAATTGTAGTCATAGTCGGGCTTTTCGCTGACCAACATGTTCACCGCTCTTGTGCCAGTAAGATTGGGGGAAGCCCATGCAAGGTTCTCCCCATAGAGTCCGCCTGAATGAACGAGCCGCGTGCAGTCGTTGGCATGCTTGTTGGCGTAATCCCTGGCATAGCCAGCCACGCCCTCGTCCCACGCAATCTGGCCCACACTGACCTGAAAGCGGGCCACATTGTGGGCCACGACATAGTCTTGGGGCAAGTCCTGGGCGATGGACAAAGGGATCGGCACTATGCTTAGCGCGATGAGGAAAGTAAGACGTAGGGGGACTGTCACACGGGAACTCATATTGTAAGAGACCAAAAGAAATTTGACAAAGGATGGATCTTAGTTGATTGATGAAGAGATGAGCAAAAGCTAAAAGGTTATTTATAGGATGATCATGAGGAAAAATCTGCGCATGGAAAAGTCAAATGTTCAAACTAGGCCACGATGACCGGAGAGTTACCCGTCAAATTGATTGATGAATGAATGTCACCTTCATGTGATTATTTTCATTCTCTGTAAAACGTTAGTTTTTTGCTATAGATATTCATTAGACACGTTAGAAGGTAATTTATCTTGAAACTCTTCTCTCTTTCCACGAAAATCCTTTACATATGTCGTCTCTTGGGTAAATCTCTACTCTTGATTGTATCGTTTGGCCTTTTCCACGAAATTGGTTTCGAGTCCAAGTCTATCATGAGTCAAGCAACAAAGGTCGAAGCGTCAAGCTCGGGCAGTCAAGTTGATGCATTCTCGATTTTTCTATCTAATGTTTGCACGAAAGCGAGTCTAAAAAATATCGAATACATGGGTATGATGTTTATTTTTGGTTGTAATTAGAAATTTCATCATAACTTCCGAAGACATTATATGCATAGTTGGTAATTTTTTCAATTTAGTCATAAACCTTTCAACTTCGTTAATTGACACCTAAATATTTTTACGTTTTGCTAATTGAGTCTATCCGATCAATTTTAACTGAAAAACGCTGACGTGGATACCGGCTATCCTACGTGGTATGACCGATAATAACATGAACAATTTTTAATAATACTTTAATATTTTTTTGTGAATTTTTTTATTAATTATTTTTTATTTTTCCTTTCTTTCCTTTTCCTTTTCCTTTCCTTTTCTTTTCTTTTCTTTTCTTTGTTTTTTATAAACCTCTGGCCGGCGAGGTCGTCGGTTGACCATTGCCAGCCATAGGCGGCTGGGCAAGGGCGCCGCTATCCTCGCTAGCCACAGGCGGCTGGCCGAGAGCGTCGTGGTCCTCGTCAGATCCAAGCGAGGGTGTTGAGCCCTTGCCCAGATCCAAGCGAGGGTGTCGCGCCCCTCGTCGGCCAAAAGAGGAAAGAGCATCCAAAGATCGCCGGGAAAAGTAGGCAATCGATCTTGCATCCGGATTATACAGACATAAATGGAAACGGAGAGAGAAAGAGAGAGAGTCGGAGCCCGACCGTGCAGATCAGTAGGTCAATGGTGGTGGTTGCTTCAGCTATAGAAAGTAGATTTTTGCCCGAGTAGGTGATGGACACCCTCGCCTGTTGGTCGACGAGGGTTGCGATGCCCTCGCTTGGTCTGGGCTAGAACATTTGGGGGGGAAGAGATAGAGCGAGAAAACCGGGGAAAAAGTTGAGCCTATGAGCTTCCGTTTCTCTTGGGTTTGCTCTGTTTCTGGAGATGGAGGTAGGAGAAATCTAGCAGAGAGAGAGAGAGAGAGAGGAACTTCAACTTCATGGGCTCTTCCTTGCGTAATTTTCTTGATTCTCTAGTGCTCAAAGCATGGCCTCAAAAAAAAGCATGGCCTCTTTGAGTGTCCTATTGATATCCCCCCTCTCGTCCTTCATTCTCTGACACTTAGCTTCAAAAAGAAAAAAAAGCCACGAACTTTCTGCAATTTGGTGGAGCATAAAGGCGATCCTGCTTGTGCCCATTTGAATTCACGGCTGTTCTTGCCTGAAATCTACAAATCTTTTCAGGTCTCTCCCTCTCTCTCTCTCTCCAAATATCTTTTTTCAATCCTTCTTTTTCATTTATAATTATGTGAGGGTCTTTGTTTCTTGGTGTTTCTTCTTTGCAGATTGAGCTGTTGTTGGGGCCGTATACATAGAGAGAGCAGATTTTTCTCAGAGAGAAGCTTTTTTAATGGCGGAACTTAGTTCTTTCTCTTTACCATCTCCCAGAAATAATTACAAGAAAGTCACCGGATCATCTTTTTTCAGCTTGCCAAGGCTATGCACTAGCTTCACTGTGAAGGGGTTCTCTGAAACCGACACTGCGATTAGTCCCACTTCAGTTCTTGACACCAAACCATTCTCATTCTCGACCATCAGAAACTCCTTCTGGTCTGATAACACCAGCACTTCGTCTTCTTCACCCAGAAACACAGACACAGAGCACAAGCGCTCTTACTGGGAAAAGAAGAAGATAGAATCAGTAGGAATTGGCCTGGGCATTGTTGACGCTCTGAAAGACGAGAGCTTTGACCCGAAGCAAACTAAACCCGAGACCCGGCCTGTCGTCATCTTCGGATCGAAGCTCAAGATCCAAGTCCCTTCCCTGCCGTTCTCTGTCCCTCCCAACCCCGAGTCGGCGAGCCCAAGGTCTCCACCCAATTTTGGGATCAAATCGAGGAATTCCCAGCTGGGTTTTGCATCACCGCGCATTTCGCGGTCCCCAGATACGAAATCCCGTTCCGGGTCATCCTCCAATTCGCGTGGCCTGGGTGTGCCCGGCTCGCCCCAGATTTTAAGTGCCAGTGAGATGGAGCTCTCGGAGGACTACACTTGCGTGATCTCCCATGGCCCGAACCCGAAGACAACGCATTGCATTGTCGAGAGCTGCTGTGGTGTTTTTGGGGTTGCCTCTGATTTGAAGGAGAATGGATTTTTGAGTGATGAGCAGAGTAGTGGTTCTTTGTCACAGAGTTTTCTTAGCTTCTGTTGCACCTGCAAGAAGAATCTTGGGCAGGGAAGTGACATTTATATGTACAGGCTAGTTCAAACTTTCAAGTTCTGCAATTTTGTTGGGACATCATTTTGAGTGATTTTTGAGTGTGATCTATTGAATTTGAGCACTTTTTGGACACTTTTGGGATGAATGTGGAAAGAGAGCATGTGTAACTGAGAATCCCTTTCCAAATATGGTAACCAAGTTTACTTCATGTAGCTTCTATAATTGAAAATTTTTGTGATTCTGAAACCTTTTTAATAAGAAAATAAAGTTTCCTGCCACATGAATTTGAATTTTCCCTAATCCTGTCATACAAGAAGAAGCTGAGACTTTCAATTGCAACTTTGATCACTGCAGTTCTATTAGATTCACCTCTGGTAGGAAGATGGACCAATAGATACAAGTTCATGTTGTGATTCTAGCTCTATTTTATTGTTTTTTTTTTTTTTATCATAAGATGGTTTACTCAATACCTAGGATTTCATATCACTTTGCTCTGGTACCTCATTCTGGTCACAATTATTTGTATAGAGTGATTCGATGAACCAAAAAAAGGCACATCAATTCGTTTGCACCATTTATCTCCGAATCTTTTAGCTCATACAGATTGGCATTTTCACCATTTTCAGGAGAGAGAAAGCTTTCTGTAGTGAAGAGTGCCGGTACCAGGAGATTCTCTTGAAAGAGGGGATGGGAAAATCAGAATCAGATGAATATGGCTTTTCTTGATATTGAGTGATAATCACCTTGCTTCAAAACAGAGCCTAGAAGAAACCAGCTTCACAAGGATAGATTAATCATTCTTAACATAAATCTTTAGAGGCAGAGAGAGAGAGAGAGAGACTGAACTTTCTATTGTATTGAATGGGTTGAAGCTTGATATTCTAGCCTTCGGGGCTGTTTCTGCTACTGCTGCTTCTCTTGGCAATCTTTTTTGCTTTCATTTCCCATTTTTCTCTACTCATAATTTTTCTTGTACAATTGATTTCCATGAAGTGATGATTTAGGAGATTTCTAATCTGGTGCTTTGGTCCAAAAAGCTTTTCTTGTTTGCATAGTGGTGCTCATAATGATGATAGGGTGACTGAGATTTTCCCCATTATCTTCCCCCAGAATAATTTATTGCTGCAAATCATCCTCTGGGCACATAAGGACAGATTACATCATTTGACGCAGAATCTTGCAGTTCTTTTTCCTTACCTGTGAGGCTGTGATCCTCCTCTGATCATACCCCACTTTGACAAGTTTTTGTCCCCTTCCATCAATTTAGTATTAGTCTAATGCAAGTTGGATGATCTTGATGATAGCTCATTGGTGCAGGAATGATTGTTTATTGTATTATTAGTATTATTATATGGTTGGAATCTTGAGGGGCTATTTCTTTTCAATTTTCTCAGGTACTCCCGTATTGAAAACCCCACCATTTGGTAAAATATGTTTTAAGTCCGACGCCATATTGTGATGCTGTACATTCTTCGAATTCTGCAACAAAGTATTATTCAATTTCAAAATGCTGCTCGAATCTGACCCAGTCCATTGTCATAGTAGAGCTGCCCTACAAGCTCGATGATTAGTTTGAAGCTGGGGAAGAAAACGATTTGAGTTCTCTTTTGCATGTTTAGACAAAGTGAAAAGAAAAGTATATTCAATCACAAAATTTGGTGATTATCATTTAAGGAAAAAAATGGGGAGTAAGGTGTACTAATGATTGTAGCATTAGGCAAATATAGATCATCACATTCTTACTTCTTCTCTTTTTTTTTGAATAATTGATGACACAAGTATGGAAATCCATATGCTTAGAGACCCATGGACATCTTGCAAGCCCTATGAACTAGTTTAATACAGACCTTTGATCTATGCATGTGGCCCTTATCTAGAGCCATTAAAAAGCAGTTGATGGGATTCGAATGAATGACCTTCAATTCTTGAGTTGGAAATCCCCCAACGTCCCAACAAACCATACCAATCCCGTGAGATCATTACACTCACTAACTTGAAAAAATCAACTCTAAATTAACATAATCACTATTCAAATTAGTTCAAAATTATATGCTAGAGGCTAAGCATGCACTATGCGAGTGAATGAAGGGAGATTATCATGTGTTAAAAGTATTGGTGGTTATTAAAGGAAGTGGATGAAGGGGTGCTTAATGAAAGATTACATGTGATCTAGTTGGTATTTCAGTATCTTGAAGATTAGTTGTGTCATTTCGGGCTTTTGCCCAGATTTACTTTCCCAAAAAAGGTGAAAACATTATTTTCTTATCCAATTGTTTTGAGGAAATATATGAACTGATAATACTTTGTTCAGATCAAGTTCTATCTTCCTTGTGATCCATATATTATACCATACAACATTCTAATAGAAAAAGACACTATCCCAAAAGGTTTTGGGCAATTTGATGCATATTGTGAAAGTTATTGTGTGATGACATAAAATAAACTTTGAGAAGCAAATCAATTGAAGAGACTAATTTTCAACGGACAATCTATATTTCTTCCTCATGTCTTTATTTCTAGGCAAGCTTTTCAATCAGACTGAACATGAGAAAGTTGGTATGTTTTTCTTTTCATCTAAAAGCAAGTTGAGAATTTCTTGCTATAAGTAATAACCAACTCCAAAATGATTCAATCACAAATATAAAAAAATGCTTTGAAAAACAAAGTAAAAGCCCAAGATTTTACCTTTAATTCCATGGCTTTGCTCATCGCCATCATCATTAATCAGTACAATTTGAATCACGCTGTCAATTGTATGGGAGAATTATCAACTTGAAGAATAACATATGGCACGAGATTAACATGAGAAAACTAAATCCGACCCCCCAAAAAAAAACATTAGAAAACTAAAGAATCTGGAAAGGAACAATCAATTACTCCTGCATAAAAATTATCTTTCATGCGTAATAAATAACTATAAGAGTTATTAGACAAAAAAAATTGCATGCATACCCACCCGACAGCAATCAAAAAATGAACAAACAAGACAAGAATCGAGATACTTCACTTTCCTACTCTTAGAAATTAGTGACCCTTTCGATGTTTTTTTTTCCCGCTGAATAAATGTTATGATCATGTTAAGCCACAAATGAGGGAGAAACCTAATCACTGGTGATTGTGATTTATTGGTACAGGCTGATATTCTACAAAAGTGAGGTCACGAGATCGAAATCATTTATGACGGCAATGCGTGTATCTCGTTATGTGCGATTGGTTCTAGGCCTTTGGCACCCTCGTAGAGTTAAACAATGACGGGACTTGCCTACTTCCAAAGAATGGATCGTGGGTGTTGCCGAATAACGACCTTCTCGGGATAAAAAGCATCTCATAACAGACATTGCTTCGAATGTTGTCAAGAGATGGAGCCGGTATTTGTTGACACCTGAATTTTGGTCAACAATTCGAACTTTCATCATTATAAAAGGTACAAAAGATAAAGAATAACAAGATAATGACAAAAACAAATAAATAAGTAATGAACAAATCAACAAATAAAAAGAGGGCTTAATTTGGTCTTAGTCTGGTTTACGCAGCCGACGAAAGCTATCCACAGAGCAATCCGGCCCAAATCCACCAACATCAGAAATGGTCCACCGGATATGAAAGAACCCATCACATAAACAATCCCAAAAATTCAAGCCCATAAACTCATAACTGCAGACCACCCTCGGCCCACCAAACAAGCTCAGCCCCTCCACCCCTCTCTCTCTCTCTCTCTCTCTCTCTCTCTCTCTCTCTCTGCTCTCTCAAGATGATCGATGCGGATGTAAAGTGCACTAGAAGTTTTAAGGGTAATTGAGTTTTAAAACTTTCAAAAAATGTAATCCAGTCTTTAAACTTGTCACAAAACTGCAATCGAGTTCCAGAACTTTTAAAAAATGCAATCAAGTCCTAAAACTTTCAAAAAGTGCAAACAAATCTTAAAACTTTTCAAATTGGTCCAATCAAATCCTTCCATTGATTGTATTTTTGGAAAATTTTAGGACTCAATTGCATGTTTAAAAAGTTTTAGGACTTGACTGTACCTTTTAAAAATTTCAGGACTCGATTGTATTTTTGCGATAAAGGCTTTTAATGCGGTAAGGATTTTAGAAGGCTAGTCACGCACATGCTCGAAACAGAATCCGTTTTGAACTCTCAACAGAATCTGTTTTGGGTTTGCAACAGCAAAACAGGACGGGGGCATAAGGAAGCGAAACAAACTCTCTCCATGAGAAACTCTCTTTGCTCTCTCTTTCGCGAAGCTCTCCACTAATTCTCTCTCTCTGATCTCTACCTCGATGGAAGCAAGCCGATCGAAGCTTCATCATTCATACACATGACCGCCTTCGTTGTTCGCCATCTCCGATCATCAACGGCTACCGTCGAGCTTCCATTGACAGCCACCTCAAAGCTCGGCCACCACGTCCAGAAAAAAGAAAAAAAGGCGAAGGCAAAGTAATCTATGCCCTGCGATCCGCTAGGTACGTTTTTCTGTTTAAGTTTTATCGTGGTTAGCTTTTGATGTCAGTGAAGCTTGTAGGAAATAAACAGGGAGGGGAGAGTTTCCATTGTTCTGAAGATACGCACGCATGTTTATCATGATTACTTAGGTAGTGCACATGGAATGCAATGGTTTCTGGGTGTTAGAATGGGAGATGTCAGCTGAAATTGTCTGCTATGAGTTACGTGGGAAGTAAAGATGGATTCTGTGACTGTCTGTAATCTCCTCGTTATTTTTGCTTAGTTTGATGCGGTATTTGATTGGAACCATAATTCATCTATACGTCATTAAGCATGGGCAAAAACTTAGATTTGTTTGCAGATAATGTTCTCTAACAAACATGCATGCCAAGTTCAGCAACTTAGGAGATGCCTATTTGGGCGTGTGGTAATAAAAGATGTAGTCTCGTGGTACTCAATCGTTGCCACATGTGAGCAGAACAATGATCCAATTACTTCATGATTGTTATCTGAAGAGACATAGAACAATTGGACATTAATTAGATTAGTTTTGAGTTTTGCTCAACTAAATTATTCGCAGGGTGGCAAGCCTCTCCGTCATTTCGCTCCGAGCAAGAGTTGGCTTTCAAAAGACTCAATACTTGGAAATGCAGCGGTGGACATGTTGCGCTCAGAATAGTCCTGCAAGTGAAGCAAATTCAAGCTTAAACTGATGTGGGGGGACAAAATTGGCCTGAAGGAGATTATGATGGAAGATCAAGAAAATAGAGAGAGAGGATGCGTGGATCCTATGTGCGACTAAATGGAGGGGTGTAGGGTAGATCAAGTGCACGTGTCAAATGGTGGACTGGATCACGAAGACAATAATAGAATTGAAATTAGAATACAAGAATAACCTCAAATATGAGTATAGAAAATAGAATGTGAAGGTGCTGAACTTTCCACTTAAATATCTGGGTTAGAACATTTGGGTCACAGACAGCTTTTGCATCTTCATTGATTTCCTTCCTCTAGCCTCTGCAAAGTTGCTCAAAGAGCTTGCACCTCACATTTTCCGTGGGAAAACCGGACATCCTTCCACTTTTTAGGTTTTGTTTTAGCAATGCTCGATAAAAATGATGGTGGCCTGTGAATTACGATTACTTACGAGCTACATAGCGAGTCGTTAAAGTTAAAAAGCGATAGAACGAATAGAATACTTTACTAGAGTTGAGTTAGAGAGAAGGAAGTAGCTCGACCTTAACCAACATAAGAGGTATGAAGTTTCTGGTTCGATAGGACCAGAAAGGGAAAGTGTAGACCGGAGTCGCCAACTGCACTCCTTATTGTGTGACATTGGGATATCCTAATTCAAATCATTTGAGTTGGGATTTTGGGCTAAAATGCCTTTTTCCTTCGTAGCCGTCCATTTCAATTGTGCCATTTTTAAAAAAGACCGAGAAAATTTTCTTCCATTGGATCTCCCTTCGTGAATTAACCCTCAAAGATGGCAAAAAGCGTGGGAGCTCCTGTTTCCATTTTCACAGTGCCGGGAATCGAGATTGATTGGTTGTCCATCTAGGTGAGTATTGAACGGGGTATCTTTCTACCACTTGTGAAAGCATTCCTTCCTGCGCTCATTCACTCAGCTTGGTATCGGCAAATAATCGTAATTCACTGGCCACCCTCATTTTTAGCGAGCATTGCTTAAAACAGAACTAGAAAGTGGAAGGATGTCCGATTTTCCCGCGGAAAATGTGAGGTGAAAGCTCTTTGAGCAGCTTTGCAAAGGCTAGAGGAAGGAGATAGCAATGAAGATGCAAAAGCTGTATGTGACCTAAATGTTCTAACCCAGATAATTAAGTGAAAGATTCAGCACCTTCACATTTTATTATCTATACTCATATTTGAGGTTATTCTTGTATTCTATTTTCAATTCGAGATGAAGTCTCCCTCTAATGTCTGGTGTAATTTGCACTGCTGCTTGATTGAAACATTGCTTTCCGGCTGCACTCATGGTTTTCACTTAAGTGGAAAGAATAACTAGGCTTTTAAGTTATCAAAAGCATTGGTTCTATTTGTGGCCTAATGTGAGCTCAGACTGTAGAATAAGCTTCTTACCTTTGATCTGTTCCTTTATTTTTTAGCACTGCTTGCATTTCATCTTTATTTTTTTTTACTTTATTTATTTATACTCGATGTCAAAAACTTAGACTCATCCTTCTATGAGCTCCAATCAAGTTTAAATCTCACATCTGCACCTTGTACAAAAGTAGAGACATATTTATTATTCACAAAAGATGATTATCCAGTAAGCTATTCAATTCAAATTTCTCTGGAAAATTTTAACGAACCCCCGTCGGGCTAATTATAGCAACTACTACCAATACATATAACTACGATTTAAGCCATCTCCAGATAATCAATCTCATAAAACAAATTGCTCGCCCATCAGTGCAAGAGCAATCTGTGGTAAGATTTTTCTCTCCTCATTATGCAAGAAAGATCAAATGCCACTCAATAGAAGAATAACCAGCTTATAACTTTGCCTCAAGTATGTGCACATCATGCTGATAATCTTCTGGAAGAAAACACAGTCGGAATTTGTAATGTCCTCACCATCCACACCTAGAGCAAGCAAATAAGATGATGTAAATGCCCTTAATTAGCATTGATTTGGATTCTCAGTAAGAGCTGCCAACCACCAATTTTAAGAATCGTCTTAGTCGGTAAATAGACGAAACACAGAGTCATATAGCTAAGGAAACCGGGGAAAAACTTCAAAGATATCGTGTTGCATCATTTAATTTATCTCCATCGTGCTTCCTATGTTTAGAAATGATAAAGCGCATGACGAACCATAAACAGCATTGGTGGTAAAAAAAAAAAATCCCACCAGAATCAAGCTAGATAGAATAGGCAAATTCGAAAAGAAGGGAACTTCAAATCGATGAAGTCGAGAGAGAGGCTAAAACCAATTCCCAAGTCACTCTGCAAATGCTAGTTTTTGCTCCTGAAACAGATTTAGTTGAGCAATATCCCAGCCACAAAAGAAACGGGTATCGAAATCACAAATCCAGCGAACCTCTTGAAATCGGTTCGACTACTCAAAAAGCACAACGAAAGGGGCTTGGCTAGTTAGGCAGACGATGTCAAGCTGGCATCAATCAGCTTTATATCCACTCATCAACTGAACTGGATGATCCTAACCAAATTTCTCCGAAATAGGCCGCCTAATGGCTAAAATGAGGACTCATCTCTCGAACTAGTACTTCTTCGACTCAATTCATCGACAAAAAAAACAGCAGGCAATCAACTAACAAGTGATATCACCAACAAAAATTTAACGAGAAGAAACCGTGTTGCCTCGAGAATCGACAGCATGCAATCAGAATTTGCTGGAGCTCGATCTGATTGAACCTCTGAACCACAATTATCTTACACCAAGATAAGGCAACCGGCTGGGTAAGTAAGGCCAAAAGAAAAAACTACATGGAGCAACAACTGATCCATTACTAATCAAGAAAAGGGGCAAAGCAACTAAATAGCGAAACATTCAACTAAATCGAACAAGTCCATTGTAAGAAATAAATGAACTGACATTAGGCAGTAGTGGAGCTTCACCGATTTGTCATCTATGGTGTGACAAATTCAGGATAAACAAGTTACTTAATCGTAAATGGTAAAACCATCTGGAAAGTCATGTGAAAATTGATTTACACGGGCAAAGTTCAGAGCAAATTCTTTACTACCTTTTGCAAAGAAAACATACACCGAGTCTTGTAGACATACAGCTTGACGAGTCCTTTGTCCCTTCCTTAACCTCTACTTCTTGAAGGGAAAAATAACGAAACCTAATTTGGAGTTAGTTCTTACTTTACTCAAACGAACCGAACTGACCTTCATTTTCTCTTTCGTTTGACATGCTTATCTTATATAAGTCTTAAACAAGTTGAAGTGTGTTTAAGTATGGTCAAGTTTGTCTTAGTTTAGTGAGTTCAACATGGCGTCAAACTAATCAATCAAAAGATTTTATACATAATAACGAAAAAGAAAATCATTTGAGTGGTGATCTCACTCATGTAAATCAAGGAATCACCACTATATCTGGTGGCAACTTCCTGTAACAGCAAATTAGAGGGACTGTTTTTTTTTTTGGCTTAAAATAGTTCATTTCAGACTCTTGTGTCCATACTATTTTCGTACTTCGACTTTTCAAATTAAAAAGTTTTTTTATTTGATTTTCTGATTGACCAAAGTAATTTCCTCTGACAAGCTTTTTTTACCACTCTAAATAGTGAAAAACGAAAATAACAATTTTCGATTAAAATATTTTTCTGCAAACAAACAAAATCCTAGAAGAACTTTTCAAAACTCAGTCATAAAAATAATGCAGGGTCACATCCCTCCGGATTTTACTTATATTACAGATCATCCTCTTAGAGCCAGAACTTTTTACGAATTTATTTAAGCCTCAACCATATAGTTACTATGAGTCTATGCAAGCACGGTATAACTTTTTAAATCAGAAACATTTTGATCATTCATGTTTCTTCTTCTTTGATAAAAATTTTCAGAAAACGAGTCCTATTTGGTTCCAAGACTGGTTTAATCTAATTTGGTCCAGGATCTCATATTTTCCCTCCATAGGTTTCAAATGGATACAATTACTTCTCTCGAAATATTCAAGAACCTCTTCATCTTCACATGTTAGATCTTGTTCAGTAGACCGTGGCATGCTCTATTCTTGAAAGACAATTAGAAAATTAAATGGTGGTCAAAATTTGCCCCTCCATTTGCAAATGAAGAGGCGTTTATGGTTCGCTGCAAATCCCACTCGGGTCAAAGTCGCAGACTACCAGAACAAACTCAATTATTCCTTAACAAAACTCAACATCAAGCTCCACTTGCAGCCGCTCCAGATCAAAAGTCTCTGCTAAAAGTAGTTCGGGAGACAATGTCTCAAGCAGGGTCTGACGATGTAGAAAACAGTTTTGCTCCTCAAGATCAAGATGATTGTTATGGCATAAACCTCATGAAGCAAGCAATAATTTTATCATGTAACAGAAGTGTCCGATAATAGAATTCATGCAACAGTATTCCTCAATGTTGTATATCATGAAGCCATAGTAGCAAGTTTCCTCCTTGGATCAAATTTCCTTCATCTGCTCAAACTCAAACTCAAGATATATCTTTAACATGTGAGGTCACGAGATCGAAACCATTTGCGATGGTAATGCATACATCTCGTTGCGTCAGAATGGTTCTGGACCTTTGGCACCTTGATGGGGTAATTGTGATGGGGCTTGCCTACTTCAATGAATTGGTCATGAGTGGTGCTAAGTGACGACTTTCTCGGAATAAGAATATCTCATTGCAGACACAAATCCTCAAAGCAACATCCAGATGGTAGCCACGGCTATCGATCCTCCCTCCCTCCCTTCCCCCTCCTGCACAGGAAATATAATATGTAGGTCTGCTAAAAATGTTGTCAAGAGATGGAGTAGGTATTTGAATAAAAGAAAGATAAACTTTAACCTTTGATCAGGCAACCAGCTTGTGAATGGGTTTTGACCAGCAGGGCTCATCAAAATCTAGCTGTCACATTCGCATATTCAAACCTCTGTTTTCAGTAGCGTTCATTCATCTGCACCATAGCAGTTGGAAGAAAGAAAGCTTCTTATTTTGATTATTGACCTGAGCATGTTAAAAGGATATTATCTAACAAATCCAGGCATTTATACAGAATTTCATTATAGTACTTTTTGGCTAGGCAAGGCCTACATTATAGCTAGTAAAAGCAATTCTGTACTTAGAGTTGAATATAGAGTTTAGTTGACTGTGATAATATTTTCATAATTAATTCTCCCGAACAGTGCCAAAGAATGAAAATAGGGAAAATATATTCATACAGCTTTATCAAAAAATAGATTGTCTTACAAAATAATTTACTGTGCTAAAATGGTTCTTTCGCAAATGATTAAATCATTTTACTGTGCATGGGAAAGCTGACTTCTGCGGCGATAGAGTATCAAACTTCCAGGGACACATCAAATGGACTTATTGCTAGGACAAAATGTGCAAAGAATCATAAATTATACCAGGACTGCAATCCCATCTCAGTTCTTAAGCTATTGCAAATGATACTGCATGCTCAATGTGAAAAACTTGGACTCATCCTTCCACGAGCCCTTATCAAGTATATATGACAAACGAGGGCCAGTTTGACTGTGAGTCCGTCCTGTATATTAGCAACAATCCTCTCTTCATCCTTTTTTGCTTTCTCTATGTAGCTGAGCCTCATTTTCTATTTTGTAAGGTAATGTGAACCCATCAAACCACTCTCTCTTGATGTCAATAACTAGATGCACCTTATTCAAGGAAAACTGAAGCACCTTCCTATAGTCCTGGAAATTCCCGTGGAAAGGCGCCACCTTGCCTTGAGAAACCAGCCAGACCTCATCTGAGCTTCCAGCCATTAGATGCTCATCGTGACTAACCTGCAAATCATGGCGAAAAGAGGGCTGTTATCTGTGAAAATGATCCATCATTGGTCAAATTGAAGTATTTTGACAAGAAAATCAATCTCACCATCAGAATTCCTGCTTGGAGCAAGACCAGACCTTGAATGAGTGCCTCCGCTGCATCCAAATCCTACGGTTGAGGATAGGCAAAAATGCAAAATCACAGTCACTCATCCTTAGACAAGAAACAAACAATTTGCAAAGATAATACTTTAGCAGTCATTGGTCATTAAAGTAGAACTTGAAGACCAAATTTATAAACAAAAGTAGGTCCACAACCACATTAACTATGTGCAGAGCCCAATATTGCCTATAGGCACAGATATCAGAACTATTTGGTATAATGATTACTCTAATACGAAAAAACTGATCAGGCTAGCATAACTGTTCTATTCCGAATATTTTCCAAGTTGGAATAATTAGATTGGTTTATGTTCCATTATAAGTTATATATATGATGACAGAGGCTCTCTGTAGCTGTAATCACTGATTGGTTCTCCTAAAATTTCAATGTAAGAGCAGATTCCGATAAGTTCAATTAGTGCAAGAAAAATAATAAGCTAACTGAAAAGGTAATGGAAGCCATAAGATGGAAAAAAATGAGTAAACTTACCAGATGATTGGATGGCTCAACAAGCAAAACTATGTAAGGTTTCTCGAAAGTTATCTTGGCAAATGCAGCTCTTCTTTTCTGACCACCTATTTATATGGTCAAAGCACCATGTTATGTCTGCAATAAAATCCAAATAGCCTCGGAGTAGTACACAGTGAACTACAATTCAGATTACAAATTGACTAACCTCTACTAGAGCTTCTAAATTTCATGCGAAAATTGCTGCAACAAAAAAACTACATATGCAACAGTAGCAAAAGGGAGGAGATGTACCAGACAAGGTATACATTGGTTGAAGTGCACGATTTCCAGTTACGCCAAAGTAACCCAAGTGAGATCGAAGCTTTTCTTCCTGAACTCCCTACAGGAAGAATGCCACATAAGAAGGTATTTTCAGATAAAATGACACAATGTATGACGAAATCATTTTCCGCAGTGGAGTAAACGCAAATGCAAACCCAGAGGCAGGCAGCATATCATTACAATCTCAACCAAACAAGCATAAGTATAATGGCTGAATATTTCTAGCAAGCTGTAAGCAATAGTTTCCTAAACCACCGGAGATCAAGACCCAAACGGAAGGTGATTTATGGAATATCAATGCCGTCATGAATAGGAGTTGTGATGAAAGCTTGGAGCCACGATCTGCCTCAGAATATTATCCCAGATCGACTGCTTAATACTACGAAGGATCATCATCAACAAAAAGAAGGTTCTCGATTCTAAAGAAAACCATAAAAAAAAAATATACTGCATCCCCTTTCTTCACAATCACATCACGGCTTCCACATAACTGATCATTTTTTTTAGATTTTGAAAAAGATTATATTCACTAGAAGAAAATTTAGAACGTATCAGTGCACCAAATAAATTTCTTTGTTTCTTCTCTTTCTTTTGGATAAATTGCAAAAAAAATGACACAAAAACATTGACAGCATTAGCCCTACCTCAACAATGTTCGCAAATGATCCTTCCAATAGATTTTGCCAATGCAGACTACAATGGTACCTGCAAAACAACTAGAGTGAATGAGCTAGGGCACAAGAAAAAGATGCTGTGAAGAGAACAAACAACGAACGCTGAAAATGCAGAGGAATATGATTGCAGAACGCTACGATTCTTCGTGACTCTCATGCAAGGCATAGTACATTTTTCATTCACAATTTGTTTGGGCATCAAGCAGAGTTGAAGATAGGTCATCAATATAGCAAGAGGAAGATCCAACCCAACGAGAAAACCCACCCGAATGTCCGTCTTTGACCTTCAATGGCTGGTTTTTTGGAAATTTATGGGAAGCATCTCCACTGGAAAGTATCAATTTGTATTACGCATCGAATCGAGGAAGCAGAAATGGAAATCGATGCCTCCAAAAACCATAAAACTCACGCGAACCCTAGAAAACCCACTGTACATGGCCGAATCAATTCACTGGATCCGATGGTAATCAATGCCGATGTAAGGGATGTCTTGGATGAGGGGCCAATAGTGGCCACCGAGGTTTGAGCATCGATCTTTCAGAATCTCGCATCGATATATCTCCAATCGTTGGAGGGAGGGAGGGAGGCCATCCTCTGGCAAGTACCTCAACTTCGGGCAATCGTAAATCCATAAATGTGTGAGAGAGGAGAGATGGTTGCGAAGACCGCTCGACAGTCTTTCCACGTTCTTCATCTGGTAAATGCCAAGAGAGGTTAGAGAGGAAGGGAAGAGAAGACTCCACGCATCCTCCTCCTCCTCGTTCTCCTCCGAAGGAAAACTCACCTTCTCTCCCTCCCCTCCCATGCACCTTCCGTCAATTGACAGTGTCTCGAGGGAAGTGAGCATGTGTAATCCCCATTCTCTCACTGGTTGCTCCAGATTCTCACACATTACAATTATAAGGTGCAGCAAATTGGGAGGAAAACCTCCTTCGGGGAAGCGTTTGATATTTTGGCAAATGATAATAGATAGCGACCCGAGGGATGTAAGACGATGCCACTGATTTGGTAGAGACTTTACCTTAGGACAATTACGGAGCCAGAAACACGACAGGGTGATGGGAAGGGGAGGGAAGTCCTCTATCTCCAATGCTGGACAGTCACGTATTTTCAAAAAAGTGAGATGGGAGAACGTGCGAAGGCACTGTGGTAGGCTTCTTAGTTTCATACAGTTGTTAATAGTTAAATATTTCAACGATTCTATGGCGATCTCTTCCAGCGATTTCACTCCCTCGCAATCACTAATTTGAAGTGTCTTCAGAGCAGCAAGTTGAGGCATCGGGTTAATACTGGTGGGGTCATCTGGAGCAATGGTTAATGCCATGAGTTTTGGACACTTCCCAATAACCAAATTTCTGAGGGCCTGCATTTTGCTCGGAAGCTTTTCTAAACTCATGCAATTCCTTAATTCCATGCTTTCAAGGTTGGAAGGCAGCTCTATCTCTTTTTCTCCTGCCACAAAAGACGTGAATTGAGCACAGCTTTGGATGGCTAATTTCTGGAGGCAAATAAGATTTCGCGTTTCATTTTCATCTTGCCACAAGTGTGTTAGCTTGTCACAGCTTGTTATTTGAAGCTCCTTTAGCTTGACCCAACCGCTCATGAACTCATGATTAAAGCAAACGAGATCTGCAAGATTTTGAACTCTGAGAACGGTTAAAGAAGTTAGGCTGACCAAGCACGTTAAGATCTCCTTATTACAATCCTCAAGGCATAACTCGCGGAGAGATGGAAGACGAACCATGCCGGTTGAGTTATTCAAATGCGGGCATGAATGAATTTCAAGCTTTATGAGAAGATCAAGTTGACAAGGCAATGCCTCGACCAACGAAGGACAGCTCCGGACGACAAGATGCTGAAGACAGGAGAATGGGACTTCTTCTTTTGTGTCCCCGGCATAACGACACCAATCCTTCCATGCCAACATCTCTTCAAACTTCAAAGTTGTTAAGGTCGAGAAAGGCCGTTTACCACCGTAAAATTCAGAGCCTATCATTCTTACTGCATGTAGACCGAAAAGAGATAATTCCTTAAGTGAAGGTAGTTGTCCAAGTAGGGGCAGCGACGTGACATTAGGACAGTCTCGCAAGTACAAAGACACCATCTTAGAATATGATGGACTTTCTAACCAGGACGGGAGTTTCGCACCACCATAGTATGAGATAGTGAGATTTTCAAGATTAGTGTGAGGTTGCAGAGAGTGAAGCACCTGCGCTTCGCGCTTATCATCCCGCAAATTTCCAAAATCTTCACCCCAATGCAAGGATAAGTTGCTAAGGCCTTGCTTTCCTGACAAATTAGCATCAGTTGCGTCTCTCACTTCTTTCACCTTTTGCAATTCTGATATGAGTAATTCTCCTTGAAGATGTGGCAACTTCTTTAACTCCTTTAACTGTGACCCTTTCTCTATTCCCACCACAAACTTGGACAAGATAGTAAGATTCTTCAAATTACTGATACCTAATGGCATCTCTTTTAGACTTTCTGTATCTCTAATGTCAAGAAACTGTAAGCTGACCAAGTTTGTGATGCCTAAAGGCAACATAGAAAGATTTTGACAACCTCTCAATATCAAAGCTTGTAATTTGCACAAGGTGCTAATTGACTCGGGTAGCCATTTGATTTCAGTGTATGAGAAATTGAGATATCGAAGATGTTTCAAATCACCGACACAATTCGGTACCTCTGTAATGGAACAATGACATAACGAGAACACCCTCAAGTACTTTAAGTTTGTTAGCACGTCATGTAGCACCTTGTTGGAAATAGAGAAAGAGCCCCCACTATATCCAACACGTACTAGAATTAAACTTCTTAGTACCTTCATTCCGTGATATGCTCCCAGGCTTTTTGATGTAACATGCCATGTTGTCATGAATGATGCATAACGAGCTTTCTCTAGAGATGCATCGTCTTCATTACTTGCCAGTTGAGAGTCCCCTGATCTATAGCATGTCCCACCCGCAATTGACTTTGCTAGATCATTCAGAAGATCATGCATTGAAAACTTAGATGCATCGACCCTTGATTGTTGAAGAAATGATCTCGATACTAACTCATCGAAGTGATCTTGTCCCAGTCTCAAGATATCCTCATTTGCCTTTTTTCCATCTAAAAAGCCCTCTGCTATCCATAAGAGTACCAACTCATCCCTCTCAATTTCATAATCCTTGGGAAATACCGCACAATAAGCAAAACATCTCTTCAAATAAGAAGGAAGATGGACATAGCTCAATTTCAAAACTGGGAGTACCTCATCTTTTTTTCCTTTTGGAAGATCCCATATTCTGTTATTTAAGATATCTTTCCATTTATCTGGATTCCTTTCGTTACATAGGACACCGCCCAACATCTTCGCTGCCAAAGGTAAGCCTTTACATTTTTTAGCTAATTCCTTGCCTATTCTTTGAAGATCTGGGTGGCTTTCAAAATTTGTTGCTCCAAGAGCATGAAAGGCTAATAAGCTTGTACAATTATCAAGGGACAGCTGCTCCAAATGATACGGTGAAGCTCCTATTATGGAAACAACGGGAAGGTTGCGAGTCGTGACAATGATCTTGCTTCCCTTGGCCCCCGCTTCAAATGGCTTTAAGAAGTCAGTCCATTTTCCGTAGTTCTCATTCCATACATCATCTAAAACCACAAGAAACTTCTTCCCGGATAGACTGTCCTTCAACTTAACTTGAAGTCCGTTAAGATCTTCGCCCTCGCAGGACAACCCGGTGATCGACCGCAAAATAGTCTTTGTTATGTCAAAAACATCAAAAACATCTGACACACAAACCCATGCTCTCGTCTCGAAATAGCTTTTCACTCTAGCATCATTATACAGCCGTTGAGCCAATGCCGTCTTTCCAACACCACCCATCCCAACTATGGAGATTATGCTCAGCGTGGCATCAGAATTTTCGACCTCACTAACCAATCGTTCGAGTATCTGTGCTTCTTCCTTCTCCCTGCCAAAAAACTGAGTCTCCGGTAGAGAAGTGCTAGGGAGCCTTTGGTTGGTGTTGTCAGATCTGCCCACAACATTCTCTCTCAAGCTTAAACGATCCTTCCTGGTGACAATCTCTTCCAACCTGCCATTGATCTCCCGGACCTCGGTTTCAGACACGAGTGAGCACGGGTTTGGATTCGATCTGGAGGATTTATCTTGGCCAAAGCGAGAGAACTTGCAATTTATCCGACCTCTGCTTGTGCTGGATTTTGCCCCCGACTTAACCTGAGTGGCTTGGATCGCGAGCTCATCGAGCAAGTCTTCCATATCATAGGCCAAGTCCCTAACATCGTCCAACCACAGCTTCACTGGACAGTTACTGCTCAGTTGCCTGTCCTCTGCATCATCCAGCACTGCATAGATTGTGTCTAGCGTCTTCCTCCAATTATTGAGCAGGTCGGTGCTGATTCCAGAGAAGGGCGGTGCTCCTTCCCTTTGCGCATTGCTCAATCCCAAATAAGCTAATTTGTCGAATAGGACCTGAAAGAAGGAAGCCAAGACGGAACCCAAAACAATCTCTACAATGGCCATGGGTGAATCAGGCACTGTAGACAACAACAAAGGTTAGGGTGAATCAAAGCGATAATGACCTAATAGAGAGAGAAAACTATGAAGTCGAGGAAGACCAAGACTTTCACCTACCAAAGAGATGAAACAAAGATCAAGACTTTCGAGGATGCTTTCTGTCCACAAGTGCTTGTTTCGTAATATTTAGAGATTATCCCAGATATTCGTAGCTTCCACAATCATATATCTGCTCATGTAAATGAACCATAAACTCAAGAAAATCAAGACCTTACTGGGAATGATGAACTTTTTTGTCGTGAAAGTGAAGCAAAATTGACAAAGAGCTGATGGGAAAGAAACTTTAATAAAATCCAGGAAGACAAGACTTATGGAGACAGATTATTATTTGACAATTAGCATTGATTATCGTTCTCTCGCTCAAAATCAACTAATTTTTGTCCAACTTTTGGCATTTTTAACCATATTGTGATTTTTCGTTCATTAATCTCTATTGTACTTGTCTGTCAGAATTATGTCTAGATTTTCATTGATCTTTCCAAATTTAAGTTTAATAAATGAAAAAAGAGCAAAAAGAAAAACTAAAAAAGATAAACAGCAAAAAACTGATAAAGAAAAAAAATGCAGGAATGGGGCGATTATAATACTCTTCGTGACTTGCGGAGAGTTCCACATCACATTTTTGTTTTGATTTCTTTAAATGAAGATGCAATCTAAAGTTGTTAACATGCATAAAGATTGTCCCAGATTTTCCAATTTATAACATTTGATTTATGAAAGGAAACGTGCAAATATGACAATTAATAATAATTCACTCCAAATGGCCTAGATGTGCATGATAATGCTTGTCCACGAAAATTCTAATTTTTCCAATATAATTGTCCTGATATGAATACAATGCAATTCTATCCTAATATGTAATGAAAAATCATAAATTAGAGGTCAATTTTGGCTCAAACAAGTACGCGTGCAGATGTATCACCTCATTAAAACAACCAGGCCAAATTAAGATCAACAAATCACCATGAATTATGCAATCAAGCCGCAACTTTAATCTGGCCAGCAAGTACTTGACGTCACCCTCCCTTGCCGCATCAGTTTTGAGGGAAGAAGGGAGCAAGTAGATAGATGTCTCTTACCTATTTTGAGTAGATTTCCTGGAGTTGACCGGAAAACGGGTTTAGATCAACGAGTAGGCAACTTGTTGTGATGACTAACGACGCCACTTAGCGATGATCACGGCAAGGCAGTGGTGGGAACGCAGCAATGAGGTGAGGACTCCGGCTTGACCATGGCGGCAGGTGCACTGTGATGGGCGATGGGCCTATCTCGAGCTGAATAACGGCTCTATCATGCCCAGTTTGAATTACAAAATATGACTAGCGATCTGGACAAATCAACAACAGCAATCCAGTAAGCACAAGCGCTAAGTTTGGACGAACAGGAGGAGAACACTATTGAGCAGGGGGACAAGCACTGGATTCGGCGGTTCACAGTCTATGCGTGTGAATTCAGCTATGGCAATGCGTGGCCACCGCTTGCAATGACGAATAATAATATCAATGGAGCTACGACTAGAATAGCAGATCAAAGATGTTGGTGATTGGCGACAATCAACATGCATGCAAGACGGGAATTGAATGAAAGTGGAGTCTCTAGGTGTGAGTTTGATAATGATGATGGTGGTGGTGGTTGAAAACAATTATTGGATCACGTTCCACCAATTGTGACCAAAGATCGGTCCCTTCAATGCTGAAACAAAATGATTGAATTGGTAGGACCTTGCCTTAGACTTTTTTGTCACCATGTCCCATCAAGCATAGCATTAAGGACTTGACCCCTCCGAGGACGATGACCCACCATCCGCCAATTGTTAAAGGCCTAAAAGCTACACACGATTGATAAAATCATATCTTGTTGCTTGATTCAAATAAAAATATTCGCCCGTTTTCCATTCCAAAAGAAGAGCCCTTAAGACTCGTATGGTGCTACGAATTGTTATCATAAAATTAGCCCATATTATTTCGGATACTTTTATCAATCATGTTTTAAATATCGGAAGTTATAAAAATCAACAAGAGTGGAGAATCTAAATATAATTGTCTTGATACGAATATAATGCAATTCTATCCTAATATGTAATAAAAAAACATAAATTAGAGGACAATTTTGGCTCGAACAAAGAGAAAAAAGAAAAACTAAAAAAGATAAACAGCAAAAAACTGATAAACAAAAAAAATGCAGGAATGGGGCGATAATACTTCGTGACTTGCGAAGAGTTCCACATCACATTTTTGTTTTGTTTTCTTTAATGAAGATGCAATCTAAAGTTGTTAACATGCATAAAGATTGTCCCAGATTTTCCAATTTATAACATTTGATTTATGAAAGGAAACGTGCAAATATGACAATTAATAATAATCCACTCCAAATGGCCTAGATGTGCATGATAATGCTTGTCCACGAAAATTCTAATTTTTCTAATATAATTGTCCTGATATGAATATAATGCAATTCTATCCTAATATATAATGAAAAATCATAAAATAGAGGTCAGTTTTGGCTTAAACAAGTAGCGTGCAGATGTATCACCTCATCAAAACAACTAGGCCAAATTAAGATCAACAAATCACCATGATCAAGCCATGCAACTTTAATCTAGACAGCAAGTATTTGACATCAACTTCCCCAAAAATTTTGTTATTAAACTTGCAATCGGGATTATAGATAGACATGAAATCGGTTTAAGAACCAAATTTTTGTTGCTACTGTCGCCTCTTCTTTTGCTCAAAAGATTGCTTTTCCCTCCATTAATTGAAAGATTTCAGAAATGATATGGGTGGTTGCTCTCATGTAATGAATGTCTACCGGATGCTTTAGTGAGCGAAGTTCTGGCTGCATCGGTTTGAGGGAAAAGAGAGCAAGTAGATAGATGTCTCTTAGCTATTCCGAGTAGACTTCCTGGAGGAGACCGTTGAACGGGATTAGATCAACGAGAGCAATCCAACAAGCATGAGCGCTAGGTTCGGATGAGCAGCGACAGAACACTGCTGAGCAGGGGGAGGAGCATATGGTGAAGCCAAGTGATAATGAGATAATGGAGAGAGAAAACTATAAAGTCGAGGAAGACCAAGACTTTTCACCTACCAAGACATGAAATGAAGACCAAGACTTTCGAGAATGCTTTCTATCCACAAGTGCCTGTTTTGTAATATTAAGAAATTATCCCAGATATTTGTAGTTTCCACGATCATACATATTTCTTCATGTAAATATACCATAAACTCGGGAAGACCAAGACTTTACTAGACATCATGTACTTTTTGGTCTAGAAGGTGAAGCAAAAGTGAAAAGGAGCAGAAGGGAAGGAAAGTTCAATAAAATCCGGGAAAACCCAGACTTTGCGGGACACAAATTGGCTTTGCTACTTCACTTTTTAAAAAGAAAAACCAAAAAAAAAAAAAAAACAGAAAAAAACTGATAAAGAAAATAAAAGGCAGGAATGGGACGATAATACTCTTCGTGACTTGCGGAGAGTTCCACTGTACATTTGTTTTTTTTTAATGAAGATGCAATCTTAAATTACTAACATGCAAGATATGATTTTCCTACATTTTCCAATTTATAACTTGTGATTAATATAAGGAAACGTGCAAATAAATGAAATCCTATCCTAATATGTAATGAAAAATCTTCAATATGCCCAAATATGCAAATATGAACACATTTAAAATTGTGAATATAACTTTCCCCAAAAATGTAAATGGTTAATATGCAATGTCCTAAATGTACAACACCTAATAAATCTACATGTGGCTTTATTAAGCATGCCCCTTAATATACAAATCTTGAATGCAACGAATGTGTAGGCAATGTAAACATGAAAATTACATGAGAAGATATGATCAAGAGTGACCTAGCGATATGCAATTTCATGAACACCGACAGCAAAAATATTCAACAAATCACCATGAATTATGCAATCAAGCCATGCAACTTAAAAATGGACAGCAAGTATTTGAACATCAACTTCCCCAAAAATTTTGTTATTAAACTTGCAATCGGGATTATAGATAGACATGAAATCGGTTTACGAACCAAATTTTGTTACTGCTGTTGCCTCTTCTTTTGCTTAAAAGATTGCTTTTCCCTCCACTAACTGAAAGATTTCAGAAACGATGGGTGGTTGCACTCGTGTAATGAATGTCTACCGGATGCTTTAGTGAGCCAAGTTCTGGCTGCATCGGTTTGAGGGGAAACGAGAGCAAGTAGATAGATGTCTCTTACCTATTCCAAGTAGACTTCCTGGAGGAGACTGTTGAACGGGATTAGATCAACGAGAGCAATCCAACAAGCACGAGCGCTAGGTTCGGATGAGCAGCAAGAGAACACTGTTGAGCAGGGGGACGAGCATATGGTGAAGCCAAGTGATAATGAGATAATGGAGAGAGAAAACTACCAAAGAGATGAAAGGAAGACCAAGACTTTCGAGAAAGCTTTCTGTCCACAAGTGCTTGTTTTGTACTATTTAGAGATTATCCCAGATATTTGTAGTTTCCACGATCATATATATCTGTTCATGTAAATATACCAAAAACTCAGGAAGACCAAGACTTTATTAGACATCATGTACTTTTTGGTCTAGAAAGTGAAGTAAAAGTGAAAAGGAGCAAATGGGAAGGAAAGTTCACTAAAATCCAGGAAGACCAAGACTTTGCAGGATGCAAATTGGCTTTGGTGCTTCACTTCTCAAGAAGAAAAACCAAAATAGAAAAACAGAAAAAAACTTATAAAGAACATAAAATGCAGGAATGGGACGATAATACTCTTCGTGGCTTGCGGAGAGTTCCACTATACATATTTTCTTTGTTTTTTTTTTAAAGATGCAATCTAAAATTACTAACATGCAAGATATGATTTTTCCTACATTTTCCAATTTATAACATGTGATTTACAAAAGGAAACGTGAAAATAAATGAAAATCCATCCTAATATGTAATTAAAAA